ATCAAAAATCTCTAGTAATTTTATTCTAAGTTTATTATTATTTCAATGGCATTGTACCCTTAGAAGGCAGAATTAAGAGTTACCAATGACGTTGTAGATCATAGAAGAATTAATGAAAGTATGAGCACTGCACAGGAAAGAAGAAAGACTGGTTTTGTGACAAAACTTTGACCAGTTTGAAAGGTATGACATGAGTATGTTCAGTAACAACTGATATCATTTTCCTAACAACGGCCACCATGCACATGTGTGCTACATGGTAGATAACGGATTTGCATAAGAAGAAGGAAGAGTTTACACATGCAAAAGGCTCCCTGAATTTGCATACTCCCTTTTCAGCAGCTCTCATCAGAGAGAAGCAAGTACGATTTCAAGAACCTTGAAACAAAGAACGGGGACCTTGTTGGATAATTGCCTCTGGGGCAAGATGAAAACCAAGTAGTAAAATCCAGAGTGTGCCAGTCGCTTTAGTGTGGTCCTGGTTTCAGCTGGGTTTTCAGCCTAAACCACGACAAGGAGCTAGGCGGTCACCTCTAGATGACCAACGGGAAAATAGGCAGTGTCCACATGGACTCTCTTGGCATGCTGCATTAGCAAGATTTGGCAGTGTAGCTTGTGGACAAAGCGATGAAATTCACTTAACCCTCCAACTCGTAACTGGGAACCAACAGCACCTTTGGGTTCCCTGAGTCCACTGGCTGAGCTGATGGGCAGAAGCCCCAGGAATGGGAATTGCTTGTCAGTCGTGTCAGCTAATGCCTGCCTGACACACAGCAGCTGCGAGACCAGCTGATGAGGTTGCTGTGCTGCTGACCCATGCACCAGCAGTGGTCACGCAGGCAGGGAAACGGCTCAGATTTTGCTTTCTCTGTAATCCTGGCTGTTTCTGGCATGCCCGACATACTGACAATTCTGCTGACTTCTACGGGAGATGCCAAAGCTCTGCTCTGTACTAAAGCAGGTAGGATGTTCTTGAAGACACTTTTCCAAAACTCATCTTCCTTTAAAACACACTCCATTCAGAGACTTCTAGCTTTCATCTCTAGTGGCCAAAATCACCTTTGCCAGGGCATAGCTAACACTAGATTTCCCCAGCCCCTACTCATACACACTAACTAAAACATAAAAGAGAAATTCCAGCTCTTTCCAAGGGCAGATTGCTTTAGAAACTGAGCTGGATCACCCTCCTAGCAAGCATTTTCTTGCTATGTTTTCCACAAGCCCAATTTCATAAATTGTCATTGTTAGTACAGCAAAAAACCCTTAAAAATCCTGAGTCCACAGCTGCATGCTAAAGTAGACACTAGATGTAAGTATAACTAAGTAGAATCACAGAATCTTAGATAGGTTTGGGTTGGGAGCGACCTTTAAAGGTTGTCTAGTCCAACTGTCCGACTCTCTTGCACTGAGCAGGGACATCTTCAGCTAGATCAGGTTTGTCAGAGCCCCGTCCAACCTGGCCTTGAATGTTTTGAGGGATGGGGCATTTACCACCTTCCTGGGCAACCTGTGTCAGTGTTTCACCATCCTCATCATAAAATATTTCTTCCTTATATCTGCTCTGAATCTACCCTCTTTTAGTTTAAAACCGTTACCCCTTCTCCTATCGCTACAGGCCCTATTGAAAAGTCTGTCCCCAAATAGCAGAGTAGGAGTATATTTGTCTACTTGCTTGAAAAATTCTATCTTTCACAAAGGCGTTTATTTCACCTGAGGGAGCAGTCCTTACTTTTTTTTTTTTTCCAAAATCAGAATGTTTCACCCCTTGTGAATGCAGATTTCTTTCAAGACCGTTCAAGGCAAAGGCATTACGAACTCAGCAAGTGGAGCTCTAACAGCAGTCTGGCAACGGAAACACCAACCCGCAGCGCTCTTCAACACCACTTGGAAAATCAGCTTCAGCTGGGGTTCCTGTTCAACTACCTACACTACATTCTTCAGCTATCTGATAGTCACATAGACCACATCCTCCCCTCCCTTTCTCCCACTCCCAGTCTCTCCTTATCTGACATGGCCTTGTAAGGTGGCCAAGGCCATTCCTCTGGATAAAAAGGCAACATACTAAGTGGAACCACTTCTTGCCCATTTTCCTCCTGCTGTATCACAAATCCATTGGTAACGTACCCTTCTGCAACGGGTTGGGTTCTTTCAGCAAATTTTGCTGCAACAGACGTCTTGTGTGCAGATGTGGCTGTGAGCAAGCCAGCTGTGTAGCATGGCTGGGAGCAGGTCAGCCCTGTGAAACATCACAGATGTACAACGGGAAGAGTAAGCCAATCCTTAGCTACCATTTCTTGCATTTTCAGTCTTTCTGAGAAGCTGGGATAGTCTGGTAAACTGCCTTGCCAGAATGGTGGATTAGACAGTCAAGAAGAGCTCAAGCATGTGTCCACCAAGACAAAAAAATATGCCTGATCTTATTTAAGTAGTTCGCCATGAGCTTCCTTCCATGCTTTTTTTTTTTTTAACTTCTTCTGAAACATAGCTCTCCAAATTTCTTTCCCCTTAGGCTGCACAGCGAGGTTAACATCACTGCTGTAAGAATAAATTAGTGCTCCATTTGTACAAACCAGAGTCCTACCAAAAACACTAGCCACATTTTATGTTCTCCTTCATATACAGCCTACCTTCTGGAAAAGTGTGATCCACAGGTCTGCAGTAAAATTACCATTATCTTAGCAGGAGGCCAACAGAGTTTCAAAATATTTTTGTCTATCTTTTGCCCTAAAGACCCATCAGTTAACATTGTCAGAGTTAGAGAAGACCATTGGAACATGTGTGTTGGTCAGAGGGAAATCTCCAGTCTGAGTACCACAGGCAGCCTGCAAGTCTGTTCCGCACAGCCCTGGTATTGCCCAGCAGCATTAAGAGCTCTTTAAAAACGTTCTCAAAAAACCTACAAATTCTTTCCACAAGAAAAATGCTGTTATCTCTGTTCCAAAGTTTTGTTTGGGCTGCAGCCAGAAATCCTCAGAGAGACCTTCCTGAACATCCCTGTAAGACCACTCTGCAACCCTGCATGGCTTGCTCTCAGGAATTCCTGTTGATAGTCTACATCTTATGTGAAGAGAGAGGCTTCTCATATCACCTGTGCTGCGCAAGGTCCTGGCCTCTGAGGCCACGTGCAGGAACTGGCTCTGAGAGGTTGCTGTCAGAGTGGGGTGACAAGTGATGTCTGTTTCAAGTGACTCTACTTTCACGGCTTTGTAAATGACAATCGCTGACACCTGTCATCTTGGAAGTGATTTACCTAAGCTGTACACAGCTAGAGTTGCTCTCTAGTTCATTAAGCTTTTTCAGCCTTACATTTCTGAAAACACGATATTCATTTAAAATGAACACAACATCCCTAACTCCAATAAAAAGACCTGCTATAAAACCACATGTGCTTTCCTCTCCACGTCCTGGGTCTCTTTTCAGATCACTGCTCATGAATGTTCTTCTCCCCCTTGAATTTTATGCACTATTTTCAAAGCTACATTTTTTTTTCCTGCCCACTATTATTCATCTTTCCAGACCATGACCTGGGATATAGCAGGTTTTCCAGACCTACAAAGCTTTTGCCCCACTAAATTCTCAAGGGCAAGTTAAGAGTTCAGAAAACTTAGAAAGCCTATAGCTACACTGAATCAACAATTATAGCAAAAATAGCTCCTGCATTGAATCTATGTTAAATAAAAATCTGTATTTGGTATATTGAACATGAATATAGTAATATGTGATATATAATGTACCATAGAATAGAATAGGTCTTTCCTTCTGAAAGGATCTCCAACAATCATCTAGTCCAACTGCCTGACCACTTCAGGCCACTTTAACCAAAAGTCACAGCATGTTATTATTAGAGCATGTTATTATTATAGCATGTTATTATGACCACTTCAGGCCACTTTAACCAAAAGTCAAAGCATGTTATTAAGGGCATTGCCCAAATGCCTCTTGAACACTGACAGGTTTGGGACATTGACCACATCTCTAGGAAGCCTGTTCCAGTGTTTCACCAACCTCTTGGTATAGAAATGCTTCCTAAAATCTGTATTATATATTTTATATTTATTTATACAGCTATTGTTATATGAAACAGTTATATAATACTCTCATACTGAATTTTTTGTATCAATTACTAATGTTTTATTACACCTTTTTAAATCTTTCTCATTTTTTCCACATGAATTGTGACAAGTTACTTTAATAGAATCCAGTGGTTTGCAAACTCTAATGCACACTGAAAACCCAAAAGGTTGGTGAAACAATATCCTATCAGAAATTAATTATCTATTAGTAACATGAATTACAACTTGCAAAAGCACAAATTTTACTCTATTTTCTATATGCCTCCTTGGACATCTAATGCTGGTAACTGTCCAAGGCAAAGCACTGGTTTCCAGGCATCTTTGATTCAGGCTTCAACATACAAATCACCCTGGGATCGATCTCTCTACAGATTTTGTTTATGAGATGGGATAACTTGTGTATTTTGAAACAGTCATCTCAGTTCATAAATCAGATACTAGTGCCTGAAACATAATTTGATTATATTTCATTTATTTCACAGTAATTTACATAAGAATTTGAAACCAACAATAGTCCCTTGAGGTGAAGAGAAGTTTGACTAACTGACCTAGCTTAAGAAGTAAAAATGACACATTTATTAACACTGAAGGAATCTCACAAGCACAAACTTGCACTTACACTTGCAACTCCCAGCCACTCGAATTGAAAGCAGCCTTCCCACAAAGGAAAGTGGCTGCGCACCACCGCCATCTAAGCAGGTCACCTGCAGTATCTAAGAGTTAAGCCTAACTTCACGTATTCCCTTTGAAACCTCTTTTATCTATCCCTTCCTTTCAAGTAACCTTATTTACTAAGACCAAAACTTATTTGAAAATTAAATTCTTTTTTTTAATGCAAAAAACCTTAAGATAAAGCTGTCCAGCGTCAGTTTCAGACTCAGAGAGAAATAAACTCCTTTAATTTTGAGCACATTTCTTAAAATTTACCTGAGCAGAGAAGTCGATTAGTTTTGGAAGCAACAATTTAGTTCCTTCATCGCTCTTCAGAAAATCCAGCAAACTTCCTGTTACAACGGAGAAAGATTAAGTCAGTGCAGCTTGTTACCAAAATAAAGGTCATGCCAGGACCCCAGTTCTCTGGATCACAAAATTTTTTGCAGTGAAGTGTTCTGATGTATTTTCAAGTTGACAACAGTAAGGCAGTCTCTTGACACGATTTAGCAACAGTAACATCCAAGTCAGCATGTCAGGCACCCAAGTTTTGCCATTTTCCTGAGTGCAGAAAACTTCCATCAGAACATACCCGAGTTCAGCAGTGCTGAGTTTGGTAAGTACCCTAGTCTACTACCAGGAAAGCTGTCCAGGAAAAATCACACATACTGATCCTTTCCAAGTCATAAAGAGTAAGTGGCTCAACACTTGTTTATGAAGTTATCAGCAGAATTGCTTGAAAACAGGACAAAACAAGAAAAACTACCACCCAAGACAATCTGAGGGGGAAACCTCATTTATTTTGTGTAGGAATACCCTAATAAAGGTTGTCCTTTTCTAGTACTGCAGCCATCCTTGCAAGACCTCTTATCACTCACCTTATTACACACATATTTATCAATTCAAGGGCCACATAAGGCAATTTCTAAGGTTTCTTTTAATTGCCTTGCTATGACTCCAGACACAAAAGTTAGGTAGGGAGCCCAAAGGAATCAGAGCTATTTTGGGGGTTACACTCCGCATCTGAAACAATTAAAAATGCTACATTTAAAAAAAACTGTAAAAACAGTTTATTTCACAAATGCAGCAATGACTCGTAAAATTAAAACCTCAGTCGTCCTCTAGGATAGGTGCTCCTTCACTTTATATCAGAGCATTGAAAAGAATAATGCTGAAATCCCAAGTTTTCATTTTTTAGTCCTTCCTTTTTAAAGAAAGGGGACTAATTTAGGAGAAGCAGAAAAATTTACTAAAACACTGCTAGCAGATCCAGTGTTACTCTCACCTTTAGCCATGAATTCTGTTATAATATAAATAGGTTCTTCTTTCGTCACTACAGCATAAAGCCTAACGAGCTTATCATGCTGAAGAGTTTTCATGAGGTTGGCTTCCTCCAGGAAGGCTTGCACAGACATCGTTCCAGGCTTCAGAGTCTTCACAGCCACTTTTGTACTGTTATGATAGTAACCTAAAAGGAGGGAATACGATCAGTGCGCTTGAAGTCATTCTGCACCGCGCAGCACTCCGACTAGTAGGAATTTGTAAAGCAGATGAGGTTGGATTCCAGTAATAGCTAAGACCCTGAGATCAAGTGCCAGACGTAGCACAAATATTTACACTAGAATTCCTTTTTATTTTGCAACTGATACAACATTGCAGTGAAAAATAATCCATTCCCTATTTTTAGAAATCAGTTATCTCAAAAAAAAAAATAAAGCAAGCAAATTATCTTACTTCACACCAAGCTTTCATCTACAAGCAGCCCATAAAATATTCAAAGTGTCAAGAGACTTTTTAATGAATGTCCACATAAATCGGCTCAGAATCTAATAGCGTCCATGGATTGTTTGCAAGTTTCTGGAGCATCTTTAAAGACCATGATTAAAACCATTTTATGCATGCCAGTCTCATGCTTATAATCCTTTCTGTAACTCTCAGTATTAAAAATGGAGTATTATGGGAAAGTGCAACCAAATGAGTGTTCTCATGACCGACCAAGATATGCTGCCAGGACTGCAGTCCTGCAGTGTTCAGAGCAAGATTTAAAACGTGATAATTTCTTATCATGCAGCCCATGCCAAGAGTGGAAGAGACTGTGGCTGTTTCATTTCTCTGTTTATCAAACTTTCTAATGTAATATTCTAATTATATAAAAAGCAACTATCAGTAAAGAGAAAAGCAGTGAATTATTTTCTGCATTAATGTTTTCCAAACATTAAATAAATGTTAAAATATCATAAAAAAATAGAGTAGCAAGCACTGATCCTAAATTTTCTCTTGTGAAGTCAGTTAATTTGAAAAAGAAAAGAAGACAGAGAGAAAGAGGAGGCGGTGAGGGGGGATATAGATACAATTTTTTCCTACCATTTCAGATTTACAGAATGCTGCAGTAATATCAAACGCCAGCCTTTTGCGTACCATATCTATTTCAAAACCACCATATCTATTTCAACATTGCAAAAATTTTTCTCGGAAAAGGTAAAACTTTCATGACTCAATAAATAGCCTCATTTCCTTATTCAGCAACAATCCAGACAGTATTACCACAATGGTTACACCTCTAAATTGGCGTCCACAATTTCCTCATGCTATTTATCATCTTAACATAAGAAACTAATGACAAAGTAAAGAACTAATTTCCAGATCTTGTGATTGCTCTAACCACTATGTCTTCCATCACCTTTCTTAAAGAAGGATCATCCCCTGAGAAAAGCCACTATGTCAATCACAAATTATTCATCTCCATGATTATTAAATATATTTTTCCAACCATGGTCAGGTCAAAGAATAACAACGATATGCCTCTGGATGATTTAATAATAAGAAACAACAATTACAGGTCAAATTCTTTTGTTAAAGCTCGGGTATACAATTTATATCCATCAGAAAAGCAGATGTTAAATATTATCTCTTTCTGCCGAAGAAGAAGAAAGCTTATTTGTATCATTTCTACTATTCCATCATATACCATAAAGCAGAGCACTAGTACCACTCTCAATTTGTTGAAAACTGAACATACTAATTAATACCACCATTTCTGTGAAGCAATCGTGACCAACACACTTAATATTAACTATGCAACAGTACTTTACATTCACTAAAGAGATCCATCAAACTAAAGTTCTATTTACAGAAAGTTTATTTTACTACAACACCTGAGCAATATTGAGGTTTTCTGCCAGAAGAAAGTCTCCCCTGACCCTCTGCTGGTAACACACAAAGCAAATTAGCTGATGAGAGCAGTAGAGATATTTCATCTTGATCTCTCTCAAGTTCATTTATTTCATCAGGTATTGGGAGGGATGAGACACTAAAACACTGAGGAAAGGTTGTCAAGAACTCTATGAGCACCCACAATGGTCTCTGT